GTGGGACAGCCCGAAAGCAGCTCTTTCCACCCAAATAGACTGTCGAAGTACTGATGACTTCAGATGCCAAGAGGCTTTGATCAGGGTTTCTGCACCAGGCCCGGGACAGCCACCGACACTTCGACCAGCCTGCTTCTCATTACTAAGGGGAGCTCCACTCGGGCCGGCCTGGGGTTTTTTCTTTTCTTTCTTTTTTTTTTTTAAAAATCATTTAGCTGGTAATGGCTCGCGCAAGAAGCGACGGTTCACTGAGCTCTGCGTCTCGTCCCGCTCTCTGAGCGGGGAGGCAAGCCCGCACCACGGGAGCGGGTTTGATGCATTCCGTGTTCTCCGGGTGCTACTGCAGCGGGCCGTGCTGTCCCCACCTGTTTCAAATCTATTAGGGAGCTTGTCCAGGGCTGTGATTGCCCAAGTTTGATTGGGTGCCAGGGCTGGAGTTGACGAGGCAGGGGCCGCACAAGAGCGACTCGGCTCCTAACAGCCCGTCTCTAACAAGCTGGAATTTGTTAGGAGATATTTTCGGATGACAAATGCTGGAAATTGTAATGGCCTTTAATAAAGTGTAGTCGGCAATCCGTCAGCACCGGGCTCGCCGCGCTCTGCAAGGTGAACCGCTGCGATTCTCTGGAAAGGGGCTCCTCTCCCTCCGCTGAAAATAAATCCTGACGATGAGATCCTGGGAGCCTGTGGAATGAGCTAATGAGCAGGCTCCAGGCGCCCCCCCCCACCCCACCCCACCCCGCCAACCCCCAACGAAAGGGAATTCGGGAACTCCTGGAAGTCACGTTGATTTTTTTCAGACGGCATGCCGAGAGTGCAGAGAGTGAGCTCTGGCCAACAGTGGACCCTGGGACTTAGGACTAATCGCTGTATCTGGGCCTCAGTTCCACTGGCTGTAAGACAAAGGGGAAGAGAGTATATGGAGAGGGGCCTGGGTCTCGGCTGATCCTGTGACTCCAAGCCCCTGTTGCCGTTGGAATCTGCGGTGATTGGCCGGGAAGGGGCCCGGCCACGGGGCTGGGCCGCCCGGGCTCGGTGCCCGCTGCTCTGCTCAGCCCCCGAGAAGCCTCGAGTTGCCTGCAGGTGTGGGCCTGCGCTTCTCTGAAAGCACCACTGCCCCGCCCCACTGGGTGCTCACACAGAACTTCCCAGGAGCCTCCGACAGGAGAGGGGAGCAGTTGCACAGGGTTATTCGCTGCAGTTTGGGAGGAGAGGCCGTGGGCGCCGCCTCTGCCTCCAGCCAGTTGAGCCCACGCCCCGGCAGCACTCGCAGCTGCGGCCGGAGCAGCCAGGTCCCGGCGACCTGGTCCGCAGCGGCTGTGGCGCGTGTCGCTGAACAAAACACTCGCACACTCAGTTTGGGGAGAAAAAGGGCACAGGAAATAGAGTCAGACGCTAAGGAAACTGCAGATGGTCCCCGACTTCATGATGGTTTGGCTTAACTGGGTTTTTTTTTTTTTTTTTTTGGCTTTGCAATGGTGAGAAAGCGACACCACCAATGACAGGAGACAGTCAACACTCTATTGAGCAACAGGCTTTGTGTCGGGTGACTCCGCCCAGCTGCGGGCCAGGGCACATGGTCTGGGCACGCGTCAGACGAACCAGACCAAGCTCTGCTGTTCCGTAGGTTGGGGTGTCAAAGGCAACTTCAACCTCCAACATTTCCAACTCGTGGCGGGTTTAGTGGGACGCACCCCTGCACGCCCCTGCCGATTGCTAAGGGGTGTAGGTGCGCAGCTGTCGTGGGCGGCGGTGCAGCGGAGGGGGTGGGAGCACGCGTGAGGCCGGCGTGAGCCCACCTCAGCGTAAATCACATGGGTGTGCTTTCCTTCGCAAAAGCACGGTTAAATCAAAAACATCCCAAAAGTGAATCCAAACAAAATCAAATCATCCTAACAGTATGTAAAATTACAGGGGGAAAAAATAAGTAAAAAACTGGAGAAATTACGGTTTCTGAGATGAGGGTCTCACGGTACAAAGACCCAGAAGGTAAAAAACCTGGGAAAACCCACTGATGTTGAAAGGGGGAATAACTGGGTGTAACACTGCAGGACTCGGGGGCCGGCTGCATCCCGGGACACTGAGAATCCAGGCGGGGGTTTCTGGCGTGTGGGGGAGGCGACAGGGTGGGGGGGCGGAGTCTCCCAGGAGGGATTCTGATTGGCTGGGCGTGGAGCCGCTGGGTCCCACTCTGGGGACAGATGCGCTAAGCCCGAAGGGAGCGCGGGGCTGGCAGATAAAGCTGCCACTCTGCACCTCCTCACATCTGGCGACGCTGGGGGACACGGAACACAGATGTCGTTCCCAGGAACTGCCATTCTTCCCGGTTGGAGTGAGTTACTGGGTGGAAAAGTCCAGAGCTGGAGCCGTGCGCGGTGTCCCAGTACCAAGCATCCCTGAAACATAGCATCCACTGGGGCAATCCTGGTTCCAGCAGACTCCGGCTCCCCTCCCGCAGACCCTCCTCCTCCGCACGGGCATTTCCAGCACTGGGTGGGGGCGGAGGGGGGAAGCGTCAGGCAAAGGTCACCCGGCCTGGGCCGGGCGATTTGCGCCCCAGTCTTGACTCGGCGGCCAGCTCTCCGGGCCTCAGTTTCCCTTTCTGTAACATGAGGGTTGGGATGGCCTTTGCCTTTTCTACCTGCGAGTGCCCAGGTCCCCGGGACCTAAGGCTCTCTGAGGTATTTCTGGGAGGCTCGGGTGCACAGTTCAAGGGCAGTGTGCATGTCCGAGGGCCATGGCGTCCTCAGGCGCTGTCACTGTGCGCTGGACGGGAAGGAGAGCGGTCACTTTGGTGGTTTTGGTCCTCCCACCAGGCATACCAGTCTGCGCTTTAAAAGGGAGGGGGGTTAATTCCTCCATTGTAAACTCGTGGATTTTTAAAAACTAAAACCTCTTAGGAGGCACGGGCAGAGAGATAGGTGTGCGTAGAGGGGTGGGAGAGAGGCAAGCCTGTGACCCCCAGAGGTGAAGAGGTTTTCCCAGGGCAGCTCCTCTGGCGAGAGGCGCTGGTCAGTCTGCCCTCAGGCTCGGGGACAGCATGGCCTCCCTGACCCCCAGACCGGAGTTAAGTCCCCCCCCACGGGCTCCCCTATGGGTCACCTTCACGACCCTCTGACACCCCCTCCCTCTCCGCCCAGCCTCCTCCTGTCCACTGCAGGGTCCGCACACTCTGACCCCCGTCACCCTTCAGAGGTAGCTCATCGGTGGCCAGCCCTGGGGGTGGCGCGCAGGGCACGGTGGGGCTTGCCCAGAAGGCATCGCCAGATGCCCGACCTTGAGGGTTTTCCTCGTTAGCAAGATGCAGAGCACAGAAGACGGAGGGTCCAGAAAACACAGGGGGCTCAGGGCCTGGTCGCGGGTGGGTGGGCACAGCCCCCTCGGGGAGGTACCAGAGGCGCGGCCTGAAACACCTGAACACAAGTGGCATCTTGTCTGGGGTCCCCCGTTTTCCCTCCAGTCATTTAGTCCCCCTGGCACCGTGCACCTCTCTCAAAGCATGGACTCCGGGGTAATCCTTCAGTTCTCTGTGCCCCCCCGCCCCGGACTGCAGCCCCAGCCCCGGGGACCAGAAACACTGCCTGAATGAGTGAATGGGTGAACGAATGAATGAATGCTCACGTGAGTGGAAAAATAAACCTGTTTCTCCCTCCCTCTCTGGCCTGGGTGCTGAGCGACAGGATGGGAGGCCTCTGGGGCGGCCCAGCCTCCCAGACAAACCCGCCCCACTCTGCAGGGCGGCAAGAACCAACTCGGGGAGGTCTCATCCCCACCCCGGGCGGCACTGGCATTAAGAGTCCTGTGGCTTTCAGCTCTGGCTGGCATAGCTCAGTGGATTGAGCGCGGGCTGCAAACCAAAGTGTCCCAGGTTCGATTCCCAGTCAGGGCACATGCCTGGGTTGCAGGCCATGACCTCCAGCAACCGCACATTGATGTTTTTTTCTCTCTCTCTCTCTTTCTCCCTCCCTTCCCTCTCTAAAAATAAATAAATAAAATCTTTAAAAAATGTTTAAAAAAATAACAATGTTTTCCCCATCTCACCCCAGAAGGGTGGACGGAGATGTGTTACTGCCGACCACCGGGGCTGGAGAAGCCGACTGTGTGTGGGGGGAGGGGTTGGGGGGCAGCTGTGAGTTGCGAGCGTCGCTGACCATTCCCTGCTGTGGTGTCTTCCATCCAGCAGGGACGGGACAGATCCCGCAGGAACCGCTCGGGAGGTGCCTCTACCCCTCCAAGTCCAAGTGCTGACGCTCGAGAGAAGATTGCAAATCAAACACATTTGGCTTTTGCAATTGATGTGGGGTTGCCTGAGAGCTGGGAAGGAACATCACACGAGAACACAGATGACAAATTACCGTGCACCTGCCCCGCGGGAGCCTCGGGCGCGGCTCACGGGGCCAGGTGTGAAGTCGCTGGCTGCCGGGGCGGGGAGGCGGCGGAGGCATCGCCCGGGCTCAGGATTGATCACCGGGCCGGCTTGGCAGCGGAACCGTCTCTTCAGAAAGATGTCGACGTCTGATACGGCAGGCAGCTAAAAATGGAAATTCTGCAGCCGACGCCAGCCAGACGCGGGGGGGGCCCCTGGGGTGCTCCCAGGGCCCCGCGACCCTGTCTGTCCTCGGAGCTCCTCTTCCTCTCTGCCCCCTGCCCCCACCTCACGCCAGCTCCGCAGCGCCCGGGCTTGTGACACAGAAACCCTCACGGGACACGCTGCGTGTCAGGCTCTGAGGCGGCCCTGGACTCGCAGCCCCTGGTAAAGGTGGACGGTCTGTCCTGGGGTGGAGGCCGTTTCCCGCCTTCCCTGCAAGACCCGGGAGGGAAGAGCCGTGGACGGGGCTCGGAGAACCCCAGAAGGTCCTGGGGCGATGCTGCTTCCCTTGGGAAGAAAGCCACAGGACTCTCTTTTTTTTTAGATTACTTATTTACTTATTTTTAGAGAGGGAAGGGAGGGAGAAAGAGAGAGAGAGAGAAACATCAATGTGCTGTTGCTGGGGGTCATGGCCTGCAACCCAGGCATGTGCTCTGACTGGGAATCGAACCTGCGACACTTTGGTTCGCAGCCCGAGCTCAATCCACTGAGCTACGCCAGCCAGAAATTGTTATTTTTTTAAACATCAGAATTCTTCTAAGGGCCGGAACCGCCTTTGCTGGCAAGAAGCAGCCTCGGGAGCCTTGGAAGCAGGGACTTTGAGATCCAGGTCGTTAGCTGGCTTCGCGTCTTGGGGGCTTGCACGCGTGTTGGGGTGACAGGGGTGGGAGCTCTTCTGCACGAGGCCAAGGAAGGATGTACTGCTCCCAAGATGGAGGGCGGGCGGATGGGAGAAGACACAGTGGAGAGGAACCCTCAATACTGTGGGGGACCCCCGGAGCTTACTGGGGTGGCCCATCACAAAACCATCCCCAGGGATCCGGCGGCTGAAGAGTATCCTAAGAGCGGTGAGATCTACCGTGACGTGACGTTCCAAGTTCTTCCCACTCTTCTCACAGAAGCCCTTCCTCTGAGTCCACGTTCCAGGGCTGGGGAACCGTGGGCGCTGCATCGTCATTGTCACTGGAGTCGCTGGTGCCTCACAGGGCAGCGTGTGTGAGCCCCGGGAGGGCTCGGCCAGACCGAAGACAAGTTCGTGGACCCGCTCGGTCTTTCTTCCCAGACACTGTGGGGTGGGGCGGGGGGGGGGGGCTTCTCGGAAACACCAGGTCCCCCACTTCATCGGCTCTCTGGGCTTCCCGAGTCAGGGTTCTAGACGGCAGAGGCATGGACAGTGACCGGACCACGGTTCCCCCTGGAGCCCGAGGGACCCTTCGCCGCAGCTCTGAGCAGCTGGACTTGACCTTTCCGTTCGTACGTGTCCAGACCGAACACGCATGAGGCACGCTGCCGATGCGACGTCAGCGGCCGGAGGGACGCAGGAGCGCGTTTCCTGAATGCTAAACGTGAACACATTGAAAATGTTTAAAAATTTGGCTTTTTTAAGGAAGGAAATTCTGGCATGGGCTACAACGTGGACGGACCTTGAGGACCAGGACCCTGCCCGCGGGCCTCCCCGGAGCCCCCTCCGGGTGAGACGGGTCCTCCCCACCGCACCCCCAGGTCACGTCGGGGATCCGCTGAGGTCTGAGGGACACCAGAGCGTTGACTCCTCCGGCGCCTTCAGGAAGGAGGGGAAGGGGACCCAGAAGAAAAACGCCAATACGGCCTGCATCTTTACGAGACAAAAAAATGTACGCGGGGTAGGGGTGGGGGTGGGTGGAGACGGAGAAGGAGAAGAAAGAGAGAGGGAGCGATAATTACTCTCTGCCCCCGGGTCCTGACAGCGCTGAATCTCAGACACTCGGTAGGCGCCGGGAGTTGCGTAAGGGGCTGACCGGCTGGCGACCTGCCTGGCTCACATGACAGCCGTATCTGATGGTGTTGGCAAGGCGAGGTGGGCGGAAAGGGGCCTGGGATTCAGGAGACGGAGAACCGGGGGACGGAGGGGGACCTCAACAATGAGGACGACACGGGGGTGCAGGAGTGTCGATCTCAACCAAAAACATTCCTCTATTCCATGGGTTGAAGACACCTCCCAGCCCCACCTCCTGCCCAGGGTGGGGGGGGGTGCACGTGAAGACGGTGAAGACTGCACCCCAGGGAGGGTGAGCCCACAGCACTCCTTACTCAAGACTCTCTTTCCCGGGCCCCCTCTGCTGGGGTGGCCTCCTGCCTCGTCCCCCCCGCCACCCCAGCTCAGTCTCTTCTCTGGGGATTTTGAAGGTTCCTGCTTCTTGGGAAGGGGTGGGGGGCGATGGAGACACCGTGGAAAGGGCTGTGACACGGTGCCCCTCCCTCCTGGGAGCGCTGGGCGAGGGCCCTGCCTCTCCTCTTGTGCAATCCCCACCCGGAGCCCCGCGCCCCGGGAGCAGAGGCCCCGCCCTGCCCCGCCCGTGAGCGGCAGAGCTCGGAAGTGAACCCAGGGGCTCCTGGCTTTTCCCAGAGGGCTGGTGGCTGAGTGCCCACAGGTGCCCACAGCACCCTCCGCCCCTCCCTGCACTCCTTGCCACGTCTCACTTCTTCCCAGTCTGGGGTCCTGCTGCCCCCCCACCCCCCGCCCCCCCACCTACTGCGTTCCACGCAGCCCTGCAGGGCCAGGGCCCACGTCCTCCCCCCCGCGCCCCGACCTCAGGGTCGCCAGCACGTTGCACCTCCTCCGCCCCGGATGTGCCTGTCGTAAGAAGTATCGCGCTTTTTCACTGCGAGGAGGAACACGCTCCGCTGTGGCGTCTCCTCCGACACCAGGGACGTGACCGTGTCTTACTTAGGGTGACGCGGTTTCCGTAAGACGTCACTATTCCACCCACGGAGGAGGGCCCGGTGTGGGAGCGGATGCTGAGGCCGCGCTTCTGTGTCTGACCGTCTGTCCGCACGGACGGCGAGCCCAGGGCTGCTCCGCTGGCTGCATCTCACCCGCCAACGTGGTGGGAGCGGCAGAGCCTCGGCCTGGCCGCTGCAGACCAAGGGCTGGGGGCTGCGGGAGGCAGAGGGGGAGGAAGGTCCTGTGGCTGCACACTCCCCGCCCCCTCCCAACCCCGCCCCCGAACTCGCCCTGGCTCAGCCCAGGACCCGGCCCTCGGGACAAAGGTGCAGCTTCGTTTAGATTTGATGGTTCGTTGGTTTGCAGCTGTGCCGGGCGCTGCTTCCTACGTTACAGAGACATGATTTCCTGGCATGCTCTGGCACCGTGCCATTTCACGAAGGGGACTTCGCCACACGTTCAAGTGAGCCAATCGGGCATGCCTAAGGGGTGGGCTCACTGTGCCGACTGGCTAGAACCGGAGCGCGTCCCCTCGGACCCTCTCCCGGCGGCCACGGCGAGCCGGGCTGGTATCTCCAGGTCCCTGCTTCTCCCGGCAGTGAAATGAACAGGCTGACACACTGCTGTGGGCCCCCTGCAGCGGGGGGGGGGCAAGCACCTGTCAATCGCAGCAACAAATGAATGAATGAATGAATGAGTGAGTGAGTGAATGAATGAGTGAATGAGTGAATGAATGAACGAATGAAATATGTAGCCCTGCCAGTGTTGCAGGGACCAGCCGCAGGCTGAACCGCAAACGCACTAATGGCCGTGCCTGGACTGCAGAGCAAGGCGGAGCACCGTGGGGAGAGGCCTGGCCCCTGGAGCCGCATCAGCCCCCTGGAGTCAGGAGGCTGGGTCCGGCTCCTGCGGTGAGAACGCGGGCACGTCCCCTCCCGGAGCCCGGAGAGACCGGACTGTGCCGTGGCGTGCGGAGATGGTGGCCGCAGGACCTACCGCCGTGAGTCCCGGGTCTCAGCTAAGCCCAGAGCGCTGCCCAGCTCAGGGTGGGCCTCGGGACACACGGACGGACGGCGGTTCCGTCTTCCTCTCCCTGTTGTGTAAGCAACGTCATGTGTCAGAGCGGTTCTACGTTCTCAGCCAAGTCGAGCAGAACGCACGGGAGTTTCCCGTCACGTACTCCCTGCCCCGCCACATGCACAGTCCACCCCGCCCCCCCCGCCCCCCCCCGCAACTAGTGACACCCCCGACCAGGGCGGGACGTGCGTCACCATCGATGAGCCTACATGGACACATCATTGCCACCCGGTGTCCCCCGCTGACCTCAGGGTGCTCGCTCTCGGTGCACGCGGCCCGTCCCTTGGGTCCAGCCAGGCTGTGTGTCCGGCACTGTGGCGGCATGCGCACGGGGCAGCTCCACTGCCTTAGAAATGCTCCACACTCCGTCGGTTCGTCCCGCCCTCCCCCTCTCGCCCCCGGTCACCGCTGCGCTTCCACAACTGCCTGCACAGTTTGCCCTTTCCGGAAGGTCCCCAAATGGGACCCACGCGGGACGTGGCCCCTTCGGAGGGGCCTCTGACGCTCGGCGATGTGGGCGCACGTTCCCCCCAGGTCTGCACGCGGTCTGACCGCGCCTTGCTTTGTCGTTGCTGAACGACACTCCCTCCCGTGTCTGGGCAGGTGGCGAGCATGTCCAGTCACCCACCGGACGGCGTTTTGGCGGCTCCCAGGTGCCCACAGCTGGGGCCCGAGCTGCCCGAATCAGCCGCGTGCAGATCCCTGCGTGACCATACGTTTTCCACGCATCTGGGCAAATACCAGGGAAGGCCGCTGCAGGACCACGTGGCAAGGACACGTTCCGCTTTGGCAGAAAGCGCCCAACCGTCTCCCGGGGCGGCTGCGCCAGTTTGTGTTGCCGTCACCCACCGAAGGGACTCCGGTCGCGGCGGCACATCCCGCCAGCGGTGACTGTCCTCAGGGCCTCGACTCTTGACCCCGCCGGTACGTGTGCGGTGACGTCTCCTCATTGTCTCCGTGGGCGACTCCCGAGTGTCCTGTGGGGGGGGGGCGTTCCCTGTGGGTTTGTGACACCCCGGGGGGCTTCTGCAAGGACTGGACTGAGCGGCACCATGTTCTACCCGCAACAAGCGATCGGCAAACTCGGGTTTGGGAGGAAAGGACGCCACTGGCCTGGCCCGTGGGGCCGTCTCGTTGTCTGAGGTGGAGGGACGCGGGGCCCACTCCCGCTCCACGGCCACTCGGACGGGGCACCCGCCACCCGATGTCGTGACCATGTGTTTGCACCCGAGGGGAAGCTCTTCAAGGCCGAGCTCCAGCCCCCCACACCCGTCTCTCTCCAGCAGCCGGCACTGGGTATGGTGCCCGGTGGGGGCGGGGACATATTTTTAAACTAAGCCGAAGGTACCGAGTGAACGGTCTCATACTGAGCACTGGCCCAGTGGATGGACTCGGGTGCAGAAAAAATCAGCGGAGCTACACGGCGGCTCTCGGGCCTGGCCACCCTCTCCCCTGCCTGCCCTCTGCCACTCCCAAGGCCTCCATCCCGGCCCGTTGTGCTGTGACAGATCGGAGGGAGCCCCCCCACCCTCCCCCCGCATTAGGAGGTGAGCACCACGGCCCAGACGGCTGGAAATGAGGGCGTGGCCTGCGGGCTCCCTGAGGCCAGTCCCCACCCTTCTCCTTGCAGAACCAGCTGCCCCTCCTCCCTCGGTAACATAGAAACTACATTAAATGGGATGGAAGGAAAGGAAAGGAAAGGAAAGAAGATTAAACGCCACAAAACGAAGTATTAAAACAGCTATGCTGAGTGAAATATGCCAGGCGGTGAAAGACAGACACCGCACGACCTCACCTAGAGCAGGGCAGGGACCTCACGGACAAAACCAGCAAACTCACGAGCAAAGGAGAACCAGAGACGGGGAAACTGGAGCACACGACAGGGACCAGAGGGGAGGGAGCGGGTGGGGACGAGGGAGCAGAGCAGGGGGAGGGCCTGGTTAAAGAACAGGCGTGAATGACCCCCGGACTCGGACCACAGGGTGGGGACTGACTGTGGGAGTGGGGGGGGGGTGGGGGGTGGGGGGGGCGGGGCAGGGGAGAGCAACGGCGGGGGCGGGGGGGAATCGGACCACTGTAGTCGATCAGCAATACGAAGAAAAGAAAATATGAAAACAAACTCTGTCCTCTTTCTTTCCGTAACAGAGAACTTGTTCTCGAAGTGTCTCCGAGTAAAGGGGGCCCACTGCCGCCGAGGAAGAAGACTTTCCGAGACACTTCTGCTACAGATTCGCTAGCATGTTACAGCCACTCCTTAACTAACCCTGCTCCGGGCGGCCCGCGGAGCGAAACGGTAACAGATGCAATTCTCTCCCTTCTAGAGGCGGGAGGCTTTGGGTCACTCAGGGCCCGGGCCCGTCCCGGACCCGACAGAATTAGCGGGGGAAGGGGAAGCTTTATGAAAGGAGACAAAGCCCAGCCCGTCCCTGTCTCCGGGGCCGCGTGCTTCCCACCCATCGCTGCCCCCCGCCCCCCCATCAGACACTCTGCTGCACGTCTGATTTATCGCGCAGTTGACACAAAACCCAACAATAGTATAATTAGATGGTTCAGAGGAGGGTGCCCGGGGGAGAGTAATTATTTGCTGAAAGATGAATCATGATAAAGGAGCTCCACCAGCGGAGATGTCTTTCCGTGCTGTTCCCAACTTGTCGACGCCGAAATCGAGAGGGAGTTTTGCCTCAGACGAGAGGCCATTTGTGTTTTCCCTGCGTGGGACTGGTGTGACCAGGGCTCTGCCTGACTGCCCTCCCACCCCGCTCCCCCGAGAGAGCTGGGAGCCAGCCCGCTGGGGCCCAGCTGGTGGGGAGGTCCCGCCGTGTCCAGGGTTCCTGCCTCCTGGGCCAGGGCTCGGCCTGCCCGGGACGGGGCTGAACTTCCCGGTGGACCCAAGAGTGGGGGGGCGGGGGCGGGGTGCTCGGCCTGAGGCTCAGGCGTGGACTTGGGGACAGGTAGGGCGAAAGGAACTGACGTTTTCGAGGGTCCTCCTGCACTCGCCCGTTTGATCCCCATGGCTAAGGTGATGTGGGAAACCCGTTTCACAGGTGAGGAGACTGAGGCTCGGAGGCAGGAGGCAGGTCGCCCCAGACGGCAGGGCCAGTGGGCAGACAGGCTGGGGCCTGAGTGCTGCTCTGTCTGGCTTGGACGCCCCGCTTTTCCTCTGTTTCCATCGCCCCCCCCCACAGTGGGCGGGGAGCCCCCCGGGGCCCAGGGAGGGTGCGCCAGAGGGCCGTGCGCTCCTCGGGGCCTCTTCTCCTTGTCCCGGGTCGACTCCCGGTGGAAAGGTGGCTGGTTTCCCCATTGCCGCTGCCTGTCCTGGCAGGGACGCGCAGCCCGTGCTGACTTTACAGGGAGAGCACTCTGTCCCAGGTCACGGTGTCCCGCGAGCCACGGCGCCCCGCTCCAGGTACGGTCCCTCCAGAGGGGAAGGGCCAGGCTGCAGGGTCAGAGGCCGGCAGGGGGCCGCTGAGCTTGCTCACGGCTGCCAGGCCCGGGCGTTGGGCGGCCCAGACCACGCCGGCCTCGGGCGGGGCCCCCACCCCGTGGGCTGACGGGATTCCCAGGGCGGGCTTTGTGCCAGGACAGACTCCGTGGGCCCCAGCTTGCGGCAGTGACCTCCCCGGGTCCTCCCATCTCCTCCCTGGGGTGGGGATCAGCAGTCCCGTTTTACAGAGGGGGAAACTGAGGCTGGGAAAATGCAAGCCACTGATCACACGTCATAGCAGGGTGGGACCTGGAGTCCGGGAGACCGGGCTTTGAGCGGCACACCGGTTACTCGCCAGCTTTGTGCCTTTGGAAAGGTCCCTTTAGGCCCGTGAGGCACAGCACCCGGGCCTAGAAACCAAAGCAGGGAAAACCATCTGCTTAGCTTGGAGGAGGACGAAACGTTTAAACCAGCTGGCGTACAGCGGGCGCCCGGTAAAGGCCGGTTCGTGTTACTACAGGAATGGTCGCTGAGTTCGGTGTCACCGGTTCTCGGTGACGGCCGCCCAGAGACCTGTGCTGACACGCACTCTGAGCCAGGCTGGGGCAGGACGCTGCGAGCGAGCGAGCGAGTGACGAGACCTGCCCGCCTGGCACAGGACGGGGAGCAGCCACATACGTGTCATGTCTGTCCTTCCGATGGGGGCCTTCTGGAAACGGACCGGCGGCGCGACCTCGCCGCGGAGGAACCTGACGGGCACCAGCTCCGCCAGGTGGCCGGCGTCAGCGGGGGTGCCCTGGATACCGCGTGGTGGGAACGGCCCTCTGCCTCCCTGGTCTCCCTCCCCGGAACCCGTACTCCCGTGCAACCCCAAGAAGAGCGTCGGGTGAGTCCGGGCTGACGCACATCCTCCAGAACGCCCCACCGCCGGCCGTCCTCACACCCTCCAGAGCATCGGAACTGAGGAGCGCTGGGGAGCTGCCCCAGCCCGAGGGGTCTGGGAGACATGGTGCTGACATGCGATGCCGTGTCCTGGGAGCAGGACACGGGTGCTGGGCAGAAACCGTGCCCGTCTGAGCCCGGCACGGCGTCGGTTCATGGCACCAGTTGGCACGGGGCGGGGGGGACACTGGCACTTTAGCTGCAGCCAGTGCCCCATGCCTGTGGGGGTGCCGACTGCGTGGGAGCACTCTGTACTGTCTGCGCCACTTTTCCGTAGATCTGCCCTTTAAACATTATGTTTTGTTGCACACGTTTTAAAAAAGTAACGAAGCACAGGAACACTGCACGTTCAGGCACAGGGCTGGGGGGGCCGCCACCGGCTGCACCCGCAGCGGGCGCGCCAACCGGAGCCGCCTCTTCCCCTTGCCACTCGCCGCGTCACGTGCACGCAGGGAACCGTGGGCTCCAAGCATCTCCGTTCGGTCCGTGCGCCGTGCTGCTGGGCAGCCTCCGGGGAGCCTGTGTGTCTGGGGTGCCGCTGTAGCAAGGGGCTCCTCACCAAGAGGTCTCGCTCGGGCGTCACCCCCGGAGGAGCAGGGGGAGCCCCGAGGGAGGTGTGTCGGGTGTCGGCACCCGCTGGTTTGGTCTCCC